GACATTGACCTGCGCCTTCCGCTACGGCCGCGAGGACCTGGACGTGCTGGGGCTGACCTTCCGCAAGGACCTCTTCGTGGCCAACGCCCAGGCCTTCCCCCCGGTCCCCGAGGAGAAGAAACCCCTGACGCGGCTGCAGGAGCGGCTGATCAAGAAGCTGGGCGAGCATGCCTACCCCTTCACCTTCGAGGTAGGGTGGCAGCACCCCTGGGTGCTCATCCTTTGCTGCTGGAGGAGATGGGGACACTGAGGTCCCCTCCGGCCCCGTAGGGTTCTGCTTTCGGGTGAGGTGCTGCCACCCATGATGAAGACGCAGCTTCTCTTAATGGATCTTAACAATTAATTTTCAATTAGGAAAAAATCCTTCCTGGCTGCCCTCCACCCCTTGCACCACCAGCAGGGGAAGGGCTGGCAGCACCAGGAAAAGCCTGGCTCTGGTGCTGGTGGCACTGGGATGGGATGCAGTACCCGCTCCGTAGCCCAGTGGGTGACGCCGGGGGTCTCCGGGGCAAAAAGGCAGCTTCAGATTGGGGTCCCAGCCCCGCTCCTCACCCCCCTTTTCCCCTTCAGATCCCCCCCAACCTGCCTTGCTCCGTCACGCTGCAGCCGGGTCCAGAGGACACGGGGAAGGTAAGGTCATCCCGGCCTTGTGCCACCAGGCAGTGGTGCCCGGCCGTTGGTTGGGGTCACCTCTTGCGGGGGGTGCAAAGGGGTTTCTCTGTCTCCTTCTCTGCCCCTTCCTGGTTTCCAGGCCTGTGGTGTGGACTACGAGGTCAAAGCTTTCTGTGCGGAGAACCTGGAGGAGAAAATCCACAAGAGGTGAGCGGAGAGGATCCATCCAGCCGGGGCGGGAGTGGCATCCTCAGGGTGCTGGCAGTGGGGAAGGGGCCACCCCGGTTTGCTACCCACAGTGGGTGAAATGGTGGAGATGGGATTGAGATGTCCTCCAGGATGAGGTTGGGATAGAGAAGTGGCCTTCAGGATGGGGCTGGAATGAAGATGAACTCCAGGCTGGGGCAGGGATGGAGATGTCTGGGTTGGGATCATGTCCTCTAGGCTGGGGCTGGAATGGAGATGTCCTCCATGATGGGGCTGGGGCAGAGATGTTTGCTGGGCTGGGGCTGGAGTTGGGATGACGATGCTCACCAGGATGGAGCTGGGACAGAGATGTCCTCCAGGCTGGGGCTGAGATGAAGATGTCCTCTAGATTGGGGCTGGGGCTGAGATGGAGATGTCCTCTAGGTTGGGGCTGGGCCTGAGATGGAGATGTCCTCTAGGTTGGGGCTGGGCCTGAGATGGAGATGTCCTCCAGGCTGGGGCTGAGATGGAGATGTCCTCTAGGTTGGAGCTGGGACAGAGATGTCCTCCAGGCTGGGGCTGAGGTGGAGATGTTCTCTAGGCTGGGGCTGGGGCAGAGATGTTCTCCAGGCTGGGGCTGAGATGAAGATGTCCTCTAGGTTGGAGCTGGGACAGAGATGTCCTCCAGGCTGGGGCTGAGGTGGAGATGTCCTCTAGGTTGGGGCTGAGGCTGAGATGAAGATGTCCTCCAGGCTGGGGCTGAGGTGGAGATGTCCTCCAGGCTGGGGCTGGGACAGGGATGTTCCCCAGGGCAGGGACAGAGACATTCTCCAGGCTGGGGCTGGGATGGAGGTGGTCTCCAGGACAGAGGTGTTCCTCAGGATGGAGCTGGGATGAAGCTGCTTTCCAGGGTAGGGGTGGGTGAGAAATGATCTCGGGGCTGTGATCCCAACCCTGCCGTGGCGTGGGGCCGTGCAGGCGAGCTGGGCCTCCAGCTGGGACCTCCCACAATGTTCTCCTCACCCAGCAAACCAGAAGAAAAGAGGGATTTGACCCCCAAAATGGGCCAAGAAAGAGGGCAGCCTGCGGGCTGAGCTGAGTTCCCCTCTCGCCGTCTCCCCCCAGGAACTCGGTGCGCTTGGTGATCCGTAAGGTCCAGTACGCGCCGGAGCGACCCGGCCCCCAGCCCATGGCAGAGACCACGCGGCAGTTCCTCATGTCGGACAAACCGCTGCACCTCGAGGCGTCCCTGGACAAGGAGGTGGGTGAGGACCAGGGAGGGGACACCGGTGGGGGTGACCCTGGTGAGGACACAGACCTCACCGTCCCTCCTCTTGCTCCCCCGCAGATCTACTACCATGGAGAGCCCATCAGCGTCAATGTCCACGTCACCAACAACACCAACAAGACAGTGAAGAAGATCAAAATCTCAGGTGAGGAACGGGGCTTCACCCCACCCAGCTGCCACCTCTGTCCCCGTGAGGGCCCTCCCTGACCCCCGTCTCTCCATCTCTCATCCCAGTGCGCCAGTACGCCGACATCTGCCTCTTCAACACCGCCCAGTACAAGTGTCCAGTGGCCGTGGAGGACGCTGAGTGAGTACCAGCTGCGAGGGGTTGTTGAGACGGGACATTGCGAGGGGACCTTGGAGAAGCCTTGGATGTCTCCTGCTCCCAGTGCAGTACCTGTGGGATGTTGCATTCAGCGAGCAGGTCCTGGTGGGAGGAGTGGGGCGATGGAGACCTTTTTTGTGGATGGCACCCTGGGGGACATCTGTGTCACCCTCTGCATCCCCCTGGCTGGAGATGAACTCCAGGCTGAGGCAGGGACAGAGATGTATTGGGTCTGGAGTTGGGATGGAGATGTTCACCAGGCTGGGGCTGGGATGGAGATGTCCTCTAGGTTGGGGCTGTTCACCAGGCTGGGGCTGGGATGGGGATGTCCTCCAGGCTGGGGCTGGGATGGGGATGTCCTCCAGGCTGGTCCTGGGATGGGGATGTCCTCCAGGCTGGGGCTGGGATGGGGATGTCCTCCAGGCTGGTCCTGGGATGGGGATGTCCTCTAGGTTGGGGCTGAGCTGGAGCTGTTACCCAGGTTGGTCCGGGGTGGCCAGTGGGGTTATTGGAGATGTTGGGAAGCTGGGTCTCTGGCTGATGGTGGATGTCGTCCCCAGTGACATGGTGGCCCCGAGCTCGACGTTCTGCAAAGTCTACACCCTGACCCCCTTCCTCGCCAACAACCGGGAGAAGCGGGGGCTGGCGCTGGACGGCAAGCTCAAGCATGAGGACACCAACCTGGCCTCCAGCACGCTGTGAGCCCCCCCCTCCGACCACCCCCAGGGCTCCTGCTCCCTCCAGCAGCGTAGGGGAGGCCTTGAGGGAGGACCAAGCCCCAAGACCAAGCATCCAGCTCCTGCACCAGGGGTGATGCTCAGGGTGGAGGAGACCCAGTGAGGGGGACACCTTCGGCGAGAGAGGGGGCTGATCCCCATGGACATCCCCTTGCTGATGCCCAGCTGCCCTTTCCTCCAGGTTAAGAGATGGAGCCAACAAGGAGATCCTGGGCATTATCGTCTCCTACAAGGTGAAGGTGAAGCTGGTGGTGTCACGAGGAGGGTGAGTGTTGAGGGGACAACCCCCCTGTGCTGCTCCCCCCCCCC